AATAAAACTCCACCAAGACTTATGTATGAGTGTGATTACTGTAAAGATTAGAAAGAAAACCAGATGGTAAATCCTCCCAATCTGTCATCTGCTGATATGTTACCAATACCAATAGTCGCTTCCCATGCAGCAGACATTATTCTAAGGGATATGTATCTACAAATTTTTTTCATCTTCACAGCTACCCTAAAGGGGAGCTAAAGGGAAGCCCCTATAGCTGTCCTTGTCTTACAGCTTAAAAAGACCATGGCCCAGAAGGGTGATGCAGGTCACATACCTATAACTAATAGAGAATGAAGTTCAAGTAACTGTTAGTGAATTTGCTGGTAAATACCTCAGAGGTAGCATAACAGATTTTGTCACACACCGCCCACCCCCCCACACATATACAGCATTATGATACTTAAACTCCTTAAATTTCCAATCTCTAAAAGAAAAGAAATAGACTTGGACGTCTTCAAGGTCAGTATGTAAATTCGATGCTTTGTTATTTATAGAAGTAAGGGCCTAGCCCAGCAGGAAAGAATCTGACTACCTCTATAAGCACAGGATCCCCAGGCTTAAAGAATGACAGTTCAGTTTAAAGATGTTTCAGCCTTTCTTCCCAATGTGCATTATCATTCTTCTATCTTCTAATAAAAATATTTAAATTTATATATTTACAGTTTCTAGTGTGTATCACATGCATCCTATATACTAAGTGCCAAACAAGCTGATAAGGTAAAAAGAACTGGGAAAGTTACTTGTAGTTAGTTTGCAAGAGGGAAAATAAAACCGAGAGAGGATAAGCAACTTGCCTGAAACCCAGATTTGTCAGAAAGACACAGAGAGGGGTGCAAGCTACACAAGGAGGGTGAGCTGGGCCTTCAGCCCTGTCTTTTCACACTAAGTCAGTGTCTTGTGCTTATTCCTACAGGTTGATATATGTTTAAGAATTGATAGGCTCTCTGGCATGAAACAGAGGCAACATTGGATTCTCTTCCAATCTGTCTTAATTTAAGCAAGATATCTAATCTCTTTGTATAATCAAGATCATTCAGCCTTAGGAGGTTTTTTGGGGATTAAGTCAATGCAAAACACA